GGGGGGGGGGGGGGGGGGGGGGAACATATATTTGATTGATCTAATTTGATCAGGTATAGTGGTATCATGTTGGGAGGACGGACACTCGGTCTCTCCCACTCAGTCGGACAGTCAGTTGCGGTTTTTGGTTTTGTGCAGTTGCAAGCTTACATCTGTAAAAAATCTACGACAGATGCAAACGCCAGTAGTTGGCATATAGCAAGGCACAGGCACAAACAAAACGCTCGGCAGGATGAAACTGTTTGCAGGTAGGTGTGCATCTTCTGTTGTGTCTTTTGTTATTTACGTTCACTTGGCCTCTCTCTCTCTCTCTCTCTCTCTCTCTCTCTCTCTCTCTCTGTGTGTGTGTGTGTGTGTGCGTGTGTGTGTGTGTGTGTGTGTCTGTGTGCAACCCCTGGAATGCCCACATTTTTGTTTGGATCTTTGATCTGATCTGCTTCTGGTCCTTTGTGAAAATGTGAAAGGCTGTTATTTCATTTTGTGAATTTTGAGCTGCTAGTCGTCATTCCTTTTTTTTTTAACCATAGCCAGTGAGAACTTGCCGTTTGCTGCACGGTTTCTTGAGCTGATTGCTGCATATTGCTCCGGGAGGGAGACGAGGGACTCAATTCTACATCACCCTTTTCAGGTTTCATCGACTATTTTGAGACTGATTGTTCAATTCCGATTTTCTGTGGAGTTACAATTACGAGTGACGATGTGATCTCATCTCACAGTAAGAAAACAGGGATGTAGCGCCTAACATTACTGTACTCGGTAGCTCCTCAGTACAATTCACCTACAAATCATGTCAGACCACAAACTCGTTGCCTGTTTAACTGCAGTTACATGAGATTACCTAGTACAGCATGATACCAACAGGTACAGATGAGATGATGCTCCTCATTCCACATGCACTGCTATGTTACAGATGAAAAACCCTAACATTATTGTACTCCGTAGCCGCATGCTGTGGTACAGATGAGACGATGCTCGTCATTCCACTTGCACTGCTATGTTGACTACGCTGCTGAGCTTACGCAGTGATAAACACCGCTATTCTGGGATGTAGCCGAAGAAAAGAAAAGAAAGAGTGAGCGCCTTACGTAATCGCCCCTCGGACCAAGATGATGGCGGTTACAGTTGCTCACTGATCCGTTGTCTACTTACTTTCTCGGATCCGATCTTGGATTCATCTATAGACAGTCAGTGGAGAGTGACGTTGCAGGCTTTCACGTGTTCCTTGACTGAGATACGAACACGGTCCGGTCCGACCAATCTAGTATAGATTCATGTGCTTCCATGCAGTTACTTAACCACTGAGCCGATCTATTACTGATTATGCACAATCATGGATGCCACTTCGCCTAAAAGATAGCCCAAATGCATTGAACAAGTGGTATATTAATTCAATTTTAGTAAGAACTTAAAAAGAAGTGGTAGATCAATTCAATTTTTTTGCAAAAAAAAAATTGAAGAGGGGAATCTTTGTAGGGGTGGAGGGGAAGGAAGAGGGGAGTCTTTGTAATATTTCATTACATCAGTGCAAGGCAGCAAGGGATATAAAGGAAAACGCAGCACAGAAAGTTATTAGTACTTGTCACTATATTGAGGGTTCTTCAACATGGGTAGACGACGCTACTCGACAGGTTAAGTTTGTGAGCAATCACAAGCGTTACAGGAGATTGAATACAGGGGTGTTCGCGTAGGAGGACCTTAACATATTTAACTAACTGTGATAAATGAGCTTTGCTTTTTGAAAAAGTGAAAACTTTTGAATGTTCTTTTTTTTCCCCGTCTCGATTTGTGTGGGGACTTCTTTTAAAGCACTTTGCAACAACAAGTACCCCACCTCCTGTCGATGTCCAAATCCTAGCTGCCCCTCCCGTCCACCGCCCCAAATGTAGAGAGCTCCCTTGGATGTCACAACACACGTGTGCATCTGATCAAACCAACAACCAACAAGAAATAAAACACAACATGATGAGACATCTGTTTGGAGTCCGAACCGTTGAACTCGACAAACACCTACGTCGGGCCCAAGGCTTCAAAATCACACGTAAAGTCATCTTGAATTTGGACCATTTTTCAATTTATGTGTGTCATCCTTGCACAGGGGCCATGCTAATCTTCATTCTCTGTATCGTTCCAATCCTTTTAACGGATGCCCCAAAGGGCATTTATTTTGGACAAACAAAGAAACAACACAACTTTGAGGCGTTCTTGCTCCAGGGACAATCTGACAGCTGAATAGAAAAAGCAATGCTGAGACAACTGAAACGGTTTTCACCTGTTAGCAGTAGCGAATGCAGATCCCAGGGCTCGATCCCTAGTCTTTACCTTACCTGTGTACAGTACCTGTGTAGACCCCGAGAGTTGAACCCGTAACCTGTGTATTCACAACAGTTGGTAGGCTGTCGTAGGTCCGTAGGTCGTAGGGGTTCGATCCGTAGACCTGTCCGATAGAGGTCTTAGTGAGTTCTAGAAGTCGTGGCTGCTACAGTCCTGAAAGGTCAAGGTCGTAGCTGCTACAGTGTGCGAAAGGCCAAGCCCACAGACTTCCGGAAGGTCCGGAAGTGGCCTTTCAAAGTTGTCTCACGTTTGGATAGAGGCAAGTGGGCAAGTGGTGAGCCCAACTGCATTACGTCAGCAGTGCGACTGCATCGAGTTGGCAGTGCAAACCCATGCAGTCAGCGGTACCGGTCCCAGTCAGTCACAGTCCAGTCAAGCAAGTACCGTGTGGGACTGTGTGCACCAGGGGCATGGGAAAGGGGCAGACCAACGAGCTACAGAAGTATAAATCAAGAGGCAGCGCCCAGCCATTCATTCATTCCTGCGTAAGCCATGCGGAAGCGCTGCTTGAGCGACTTCTGCGAGGTGGTATGCAGAGTGCCCGGAGGCGAAGTGGGCTGAAGAAGATAGTAAGCCATAGTTAGTGAGGGACAGCGGCCATAGCCGCCATAGCTGATAGGTGAGTGTATGAGTACGAGAGCGTGTGTATGCGTGTGGGATATCCAGGGTGACCCAGCGTGAGTGAGTACGAACAGTGGTGTTGGACAGAGTGATGAGAGTCCGGTTGTACAGGCGCTGACGCACCATAGCTTGTTGAAGCGAGCTTGTATCTGAACAGTGTGTTCGACTTCCATATCTTTGAGCTTTGAGCGGGCGCTGTGCGCAAGTGTGGTCCACCATCTGTCAGCATGTGTGCGAAGTGGAAAAGGAAGCGAGTCTGATTGCACAACTTCAACGAGTAGAAGAAAGGTGCACTTGAGGAACGATGAAAAAAAAAAAAAAAAAAAAAAAAAAAAAAAAAAAGCTTCAGGACCCAAAAAACAGACTATAATATTCTCTACACTCCCTTAAGGAAGAGCCGAGTTTCGCAGAGACTTGATGGGCCCTGGGGGTGATCCAGAAGCAGCCGAGCCGATTTTTTTGGGCACGCACCAGTTTTTTCATTGGCGGTGTGCCCACATATCTTCTCTATGTCGGTCCAACTTTCTGATAGGTTCTCTACATCGTTCCGATTTTCTGATAGGGTGCAGGGGCCATGCGGTGCCGTGCGGGGAGCTGAACCTACCAGGGGTGGGCGGGCCCAGGGAGGGTGGCACACAATTTTAAGTGCCCACCTTCATTTCCTTCAACAACACCCTTTGGACAATTCATGGTTGTAAGGTACCTGCACCTGCATAATTTGTGTGTGTGGGGGGGGGGGGCGGCCCAAAGAATTCCGACGCAAATGTGACATGTATGGCTGCCACCACCATGCCCGGCCCTGACAATGGTCTCGTAGTCCAGGCAATGGCAAAAGTGAGCATCTGGGCAAATAGGCTCCAGGGTACCGGTGGTTTTCAGCCGGATCCCAGTTAAACTACTACCGTCTTCACCCGTAAATAACGCACGGGCGTAATATTCAACTTACCCTAGAAAGGTCAGGAGTTTCGGTTTTACTCACTTCTTCGGATATAATGCCCGGGCGTTATATTCGAATAGATCGCCCGGGCATATATCCGAACAGCTCGCCCTGGCGTTATATCTGAATAAAACGCCCGGGGGTTATATTTGAATGTTCCATGGACAGAGTGCCTTGTAGAGGTAGTATACATGGGTTTGAAACGGCAGGGAGGCGGGTATACATGGGTTTTGAACATACCTGCGGCGCAAGTGTGCGGTGCGCCCGGTGTGGTGCGCTGGTCAACGGCTGTCTCTTATACACATCTAGATGTAAACTCATCCAGTGGTCCGCAGCCAACCAGT